TAATGACGATTTTTTAAAAGTGTAAACTAATAAATAATGAAGTATATTTTGAAAACTAAACTGCACATATTTTTTATAGCTAGCTTATAGTTGATATAAATGGAAAATAATGACAATATTTATTTTTCCACATTATCTTCATTATTTTTTTCACGTTAAAGACAGCGATAGCAAGTTTCTTCGACGGTGGAAAAAACGGTGAGGAAAGAAATAGGTTTCTTCCAAACAAAGTGAAAGAAATAAGAAAAAAAATTTTTTCAAAAAGAAATATAAAAATTTTAAACAACTTACACCTCTTTTATACAACTTATAATTACTGTAATAATTTGAATATTATTATAATTTAAAATATAAGACATTTAATAAATTATTTTTTTAATTAAGTGAAAATAAAAGAGCAACAATTGGTAGGCAATATAAAATTAAAAAACTTTTTGAATGAAACTATTTGAAGTTCTTTAATATTTTAAGTAAATGGGAATAGTAAAACCAAGTTTTAGAATTTTATGGAAAAAGAGGAAAAATATAATTGGAAAATTTTATTATTACTACTAAATTAAAAAATCACGTACTTAACATAGATACTCTACTACTATATAGTAGATTGATGTTGACAAATAACATACTAATTTTTAAAATCAAAAGCAGTGTTAAGAAAGAATACTGAAACTGACTTATGTAAATTATAACTTATGTGACTTACAAATTTTAATATATTGTATAAAACTAAAATATATAATATGAAAATAAATTTAGAGTAAATGAGAAAACTTTCATTTTTTTCCTTTCTTATATTAAATTAAATTTTTATATATTTAAGCTATAGTTCTAACACTTATTTCTGAAAAAATTATGTTGGTTATTTTAAGTTTGTTCAATTTTGCTCAGTTTTCTGCGAGTTTTTTTCCAGGTTTTTTCCATTTTCTTCCAGTGTCCCTGGAAGAAATAGCTTTCTTCTATACAAAATGCCTTTTTTTTGTAAAAAACAGAATTTTTTAAAAGTTTTCGCTTTCGTTAATTTCAAGTTAAGCTTAACTTTTTAAATATATAACATAACTTGCAAGCTGTATTCCTATTTTTTAAATTTTTATTTGAACTTATTACTATTTTTTAAATCAAATTAATCATATTACACTATAGCAAAGATATTTAAAACGCAGAAAATGAATTAAAAAATATATAGTATTATATTTTTCAATTTTACATAATAAGTACATTTTTTTAAAAAACTTAGTTCAATGTTTAAGCATAACATCGGCATTTTGAACCGTAATGCATGTAAGTACATTTTAAATAATTTATTAAATTGTTAAGTACATGAATTATCATGTAAAGATTTAAATGGAATTGTAAGTAATTTTCTTCAATTAATATTACATACATTACCATGCAAATGTTTTTGAATTAACACCTAATTTTCAATAAGGTATTAAATCAAAGCATGTCCCCATTCGAATTGATTCAATTAATTTGTACTAAAATAAGACACAACTTAGTACAATATTAAGTTTGCACGACAAATCTCTAATTTTTTTATAGTAAAAATATAATTACTCAAAATGTTTAAATTATAATCTTGTTTTTAAGCTTTTGTTAAATTATTATTTTTTTAATTAGAATTTTATCAGAATAATTTATACAAGTATTACAGTTGAATTAAATAAAACGATTAAAAGGTGGAATTTATGTGAATAAAAATTTTACTAAATTAACCCTGCTAAATTATAAAATAAATTCTTTCATCAACTTAACAGAAATATGATATTTTTTATTGTCAAACACAGTTAAAATGAAATTTTAATTTAAAAGTAGAAAAAAATTTTCAATAACTTTATATACTATTATTAAACTCAGCTTCTTAATGAGTAAAGAAAATTCTATTTTGTGAAAATCCGCCATGCGTTTTAAACTAGAAAGTTTAAAAAGAGAAATTCCAGACAGCGTGTAAACTAATACCTTTTAAGCTGCGACGCTTTTGACGATTTAAATTAATTGAATAAAAATGAATTAATATTGAGCTCTGAAGTTATTTTTGAAACTAAAAAAAAGATTGACCGTTTTGATAATGTTCTTCTTTTCTATTCCGTTATGAAAATAAATAGGCCATTAAATTTCTATAGTTAATTCTATAATTATTCTGTCTCATTATAAGTCATTAAATTTCCATAAAGTTTAAGTTTCGGATTTCTACTTTTTTGAAAAAGTTTGAAACATTTAACTGAAGCAGATTTTATATCTAAAAATGCTGCAGTTGAGAATAAAAATTGCATAAACTGGAATTGATAAAACTATTGCGAATAATGAAACAAAAATAAATGACAATCTTAAAATAAAAGTTTTTTTTAAAATTATTAATTGATATTAAAAAAAACTATAATTTCTGGGATTTATAATTTTATTTAAAAAATCAAAATTCAGCGAAAATGTTTATTTAACATGCAACTATGAATTATTTTTAAATGATTTTTCATATATGTACATGAAACATAATTTTGCAATTAAAAAAAAGTTTATTTAGTACAGAAATATTTTTGTAGTTATATTATTTATTAAATTTTTATTGCTTAAAATTTATAAAAATTTTAATTGATTCATTAATTTCCAATTATTTATATATTCAACTGCTGTTTTATTTCTTCAAAACATCATTCCTAAATAATCAATGAGCTATAAATCGTTTAGATTAATCACTGAATGAAAAATATCGAATTCGTTAAATAAACAGAACAATTTTATATCATGCATGATTATTATTAGTCATAATAGGGCTTCATAAAACATTTATTAAATATGTATTTATTAAACATTTAGTTTTGTAAATAAATTACTTCTCATACATCTTAATAATTTCCTACTTTTATAAATAATTTATAGGTTATTTTTAATAAACTATAATTCCTTATTTATTTGGTATTATTCTGCTGAACTACGCAAAACCATCAACCAAGTGCATAGTTTAAATTGAACTGTTTACTAATAACAAGAAAGAAATCAATGTCTAATCTTTTGTATTTGAAAGAATTTTTCTTTTTTGATATTAAAAAAAACTAGTATCAGACAGGGCTAATGATTTGAATTTCTTATTAAAACAGTATTCAAACTAGACCACGTATTATATTACCGGGTACTGGTGTACCCTACCAGAGGAAATAATTATAGATCTAATAGGGGGCCCACAATGTACTATGTATGTATATATACATGCCAAAGGATACTAGCTCTTTGTTCGCCAAGATATATATAATAGCGTGTTGAATAGCGTTGAAATGAGGAAAATCGAATTCAATATTCTGTATTACGAAATTAGTGAAGTTTAAATTAAGAAATGCTTTTTATTTAAATCTTTATCGTTATAAAATTTTTTCAAACGAGATATTATTTAATCGTTATAATATTAGTATATATTGTAGTATAATCGATCTAATATTAGTATATAAGATAGTATATATAGTTTCAATTTATACTATACTGCTCACATATTGATTATTTTATAGCTTTCTCACATAAAATAAACTTTTCAAAATTAGCTTTCAAGATTGTTTAACTTATAAAACAGATTTTATTAAACAAACATACACATAATCCGTAGTTGGCTTATTGAAGGATCAGATAAAGTTGTTATTTGATTTGGTAGGAATTAAATGAACATTGTTACCATACAATTTTTCGCTAAGTGCATACAATTGTTTTTAAATAATGTATATTTGAAATAGTATATAAGTAGAAGGAGTAAAAATTATTTTAAATCGTTGTTTGTAGGGAATTTAGTAAAAGTATTTCAGTAATAATTAATTTATATCTTTTAATTAATTACTTATTTTATTCTTTTTTTGTTATATCTTTAGAGAAAAAATTAAATAAATATTTAAAATTTTTACGAGTGATTAAAAATAGAATCATATTGATCCAAAGATTAATCAAATAACATAGTAAGAAAAAAAAAGCATAAAATTAAAAAAAAATTCGTATATTACAATAAGAAAAACAATTGTAAATTATCATAATAAAAAAGTAATTAAATTCTGATTTAATATTAAATTCTTATACTAGTCACTGAATATTGAGCTTATTTGTCATATATTAATAATAGTGGTACATAACACTAAAATATTTATTTCATTATATGCATTGATTATCTTGTGTAGTATTGCATTAATATAAATATTATGCCACGATAATAAGTTTTATAAATTTGTATGTATTCATTCATTTTGTATTAACATTGCTTATATTATGCGGATCATGATGCATCACGGTAATTCAGAATATTGTCATTTTTGAAAATTGTTCAGAAAAATTAACTTCAAATAATTTAATAAAAAATATAATGAATAAAAAGCCAATTTGGTGATTTTCTAAGAAACAAACGTATTGTTGATAATTAAATTATCAGTTGCAACTTAATGTTCATTCGGATGCATGTAAGAATTCGTAATCTTAGAACTTAAATAAAAATACAGGGGATGATGTTTAAAAAATTTTTTAAATAAAATTCTTTGTTTTTACATAACTAAGAAATAAATAAAATAAAAAAAAATTAATGAAAAATCAATGGCTAAAAAATAAATAAAAACAATTTTAATTATTTATTAATATCGATTGATATCTATTATGTATTCATAACAAACGATTTTAATTTTAATGAAAATGTGTTATTTTCATAGAAAAAAAAACCCGAAAGGAATTATTTAATAAACGATTTTAAATGTCTACGGGAACTATATTCTAAATTATCGATTCATTTTTAGGATATGCATAATTACCACCATACACTAACAATGATGTGCATTGATAATATATAGTTATTCATAAATAATTGGATATATCAGTTTTTAGGTATATTTGTGTCGATATTAAATGTTTGTAAGCTCTGTTCGAATATGTTTTTCTTTCTTTCTCCCTTTTTTTTAAAATCCTCTTTGTTTTTATGCATGTAAAGATTCGCTGATTGAAGGCCGAATCAGTGAAAATCACCTAAATCAGTAAAAAGGTTCTCTTACCTTCCTGATTTGGTGATGACCATTTCAGTTCCAAGAGCATGAAACTTATCCCATAAGTCCTTGGCCTCGAGGGTCACTTTAGGGTCATCTTGGACACCATCATCCTCTGGTTCCAGAGTCCTTAAGGGCCTTAGATGAGGTGCAGCCCCGCCAGCCGCGTGGGCCGCTAACACATCTTCCGCAGTAAGATGATGGTGCGCCCCAGCACCCACAGGCGGTTTTGGAAAAAGGGCCGGCGGCGGATAACAAGCCGCGGCTGCGGCCGCCGCCAAGGCCGGATTAAAGTTCTGCAGGGCCGCAGACAGGTAATGCGGCTGTGTAAGTATTGAGTTCATACTAAAGTCCGTTTGGTGTGGGTGTCGAGCCGCCGCGGCCGGGGGCAGCAAGAACGGATGATAGGCCATCCCCGGACCGAAGTCGGCGGATTCGAATCGCATGGGGGGGTCGTCGCCGAAAAACACCCCGTTCACTTTTGAGTTTCGACGGGAAGAGAAGAGAGGAGAGCTGGAATTCGGCGACGGCTTTGGCACGATCGGCGTGTGAAAGTGGCGCAGCGCCGCTGTGGACTTTGGCACGCCGGGGACAGTGCCGCTCTTGATTGGCTATTTGGGCGAAGCGAGCCAATGAGAGTTCATTTCGGCGCTATCTTCAGCGCGGGGGAACTGGACGCTTTGGAAACGGCAGGCGCCTCAACTCCACACCAAGGATGCTTTGGGGGATCTTCTTCCTCCTCCTCTCCCTCTACTCCTCTTCTTTTCTCTTCGTTCCTTCTCTTTCGAATTATTGATGGATATCTATATTCTAAATATTAGGCGCTCTCCTCAAATCGTTTGACAACGATTAAAGCGTGGATAGGTTTGAGGGGAATTTAATATGCGATAGTTTCTTTTCTTCTTGAAATTTCATTCTTTTTTTTTATTCCTTCTTTCTTTTTCTGTTTAGTTAAGCAGTTTGAGATATATTTTTTGCGCTATATCGCATTTCTCAATGTCGTTTGATGAAAATATTTCCTTTAATGGGGAAAGTTGACGCAATTTCGTCAATTGTTTATATGAAGTGTTTCTCTTTTAAATTTTCTTCCCCTTTTTTTTCACCGTTACTTTTAGAGGTGTTTTATTTTTCCTGTAAGGCGAATTTCTTTTTATTTATTCTTTTACCGATATCTTCTTCAGTAAAGATATAGGAATTATCGCTAAAAGTCTATTTATAGTTATAATTGTTTACTTATATATTTTATTAGCATTGTCTCCACACTTGATAAAAATCACAATCCACACAATTTCGTAGAAATTTTTTTTTGACAGAACGTGAATCCTACCTGAAAAGAAAATGAAGAACATAAATATAAATTATGATATTTATTAATATCAATATTTAATAAATTTATTTATTTATAAATATTTTATTTATTTAGTTATTATTATTATTATTTCTTATAATCGAGTGCTTCGTGAAGAACCAATCAATTATATAATTTTAATAGTTTTATTTAATTTTGTTTAGCATTGTTACGAATAAATATATATATATATTTAAGGTAAAACATCATTTCTTGTTATTTTTAAGCTTAAAATTAAAAACAGAGAGTAATTTATATATATATGATTTAGATTATTAGAATATTAAAAAAAAATTAATTTATTCATTGTTCTATATCGTTTGACGCCCGGTGGCTGAGCGGTAGCGCTTCGCGCTGTCGTGCCACAGGTCCCTGGTTCGATCCTCGGGCCGGGCAAGGTTGACTCAGCCTTTCATCCCTTCAGTGGGTCGATAAATGAGTACCAAGCATGCTTGGGAGCTAAACACTGGGGGTTCCGCGTTCGGCTGACCACCTGACCGGAACATCTGCACTTGCACCCCAGAGCCCAAGGTCAAGAAAACTGAGATGGGCACAGTAGGCCTTGGCCCTCTATGGGCTGTCGCGCCACTGAGTTTAGTTTAGTTCTATATCGTTTATTTATTCACCTTCATTTTTTTCTTATATTCCTTTCCCTTCGTTTTACTTTTAATTTATTTATTTTTTAACTGGGATGTTTTTGAAAAGTCGTTAAAAGAAGGATTTCAACAGTTTTGCCACTTATTTTTAAACATAGTTATTATTTTAAGCACTTTTTAAACTTAATTATTATTATATAAATCTGAAAATAATTTAAATTAATTCAATTGAGATTAAAAAAATTATTAAAGTATAATTTATTCATTATTTTTTTCCTTTTTTTATTTTCATTTCTTTGCTTTCTTTTTTTATTTTCATTTATTTATTTTATTTTTTGACTTTCCTTTACTTATTTGTTTAACTATTTTCGATTCAAATCTAGTTTTTTTTTGTGAAAAGACATTAAATAAATCATTTTAATAGCTTTACAAATTCTTTTAAAACAATACTATAATCATATATATAATTTTTAAAATGAAACACTATTATTATGTAACTTTTAAACATATTTGGGAATATCAATTCTGATGCTTTTCGGGAAGTGGATTAAAAAAACGTATTTGAATAAATGATTTAAAGATATGAAAAGTATTTTTTGTGAATTTAAAAGATATTTATCCTTATATTTCTGATGAAAAAAAAGTATGCAAAAAATTAAAATCCGCAATTGTTCTTAAGAACGAATACAGAACACTTATTTTTTCTGCGCTGCGTGTAAAGTGGCAAACAAAGACAGATTCTCATATTCCTTAAATTCGAATTTCGAAATTCTTTTTTTTTTTTATCATTAATGATGTTTCATCTACTTTATACCTTCTTAAAGAATTTAAGTAATATTTTTTCAATTGTTGTCATTTAGTAATTTAATAAGTTTTTAAAAATAATAATAATAATAATAAACAATATATTTTGCTGTTACTCCACTTCAGCATCCAAGTAGCAAAATTAAAAAAAAAGTACTTAATTAACTAATGAAAGAAAGTAAGAAATGGAGAAAAAAAAATTAAACTACTTTTGATTCTAATATACAGATTATTAAAAAAAATCTAGTAAATAATAGAACAATGAAATATGTCATTATTATTAGTAGTAGCACCATAAATAAATAACTATATACTTTTACATTTTTAAAAAGTATTCATAAACTACGTAACACTTTCAATTTTAAAAATTATTGCAGGTGATATAATATTTTTTATTATTAACAATATCAATATCTTAGGATTCAATTGGAATTCAAAAAATTCGAATTGAAAGTTTCTAAAAGGTCTAAGAGAGAAAAAAAATCGGGAATGTACGTTAAGAAAAATTTAATTCCAAAAAAAAAAAAAATCATAAGTGTAACTTCAGAAAATCATATATGTTTATAGAAATAGTATATGAAGCATACTTTTTATTTTCATATAATATGAGAACAAAAATTTTTTTTTTACTTAATAATATTGAAAGGGAAAAAAGCGCTTTTTAAAAACGATTTAATAAAACAAACTGTTTTAAATTATTTTAAGTTTGTAATAAATATTTGGTATAAACTGTTATCTTTCCACTCAAGACTAAATAACCAAATTGAAATTTTGCGTAAAAAAATATGATTTTAAATTTTGTGAACCTTAACTTTTAAAGCTTAAGTCATGAAATTATTTAAACGAAATTATTGGAAAGTATAGCAGTAAGGAGACCCTTTTTACGAAATTTTCTTTTAATATTTAATTTAAATCATATTCGGTCAAAACTTAATATAAAATTTTCATAAATTAAGCCAAAAGAAAAAATAAAGACACGTACATCCCATTTTATAAGTGTGCATAATACCTTTTTTAAGAATTTATTGAAATATTTGTGGAGATTTTAAAAACATAATCTATTATCCTAAGATATTGCCGAAGTATATAACAATTCAGATTTTAATATCTGGTTGACTTTTTTGAAGAGGATTTCAATGTATATTTTATTTAAATTCCTATCAATGCATAGTTATCACAAAATATCCTTTAACTTAAAAACACGTTCCCTATATAATTTCCATTCCTCATTTTTTGCTTAATTTTGCTCATTTTTATTTTTTAAAGCAATAAAAAAGGCATAATAGTCACAATAAAATAAAGCGTGCAAATGTATAAAGCTTGCAATATTTTTGGAAATATTATCGTGAATGCTATTTCTTACGATAAATATCAAGTACATATACAAAAATATTGAATATTGACCACGATAAATGTCAAATACGTTAATGTCGTGAAAGTTGGATGAAAAACGATAATAATCGAATAGAATAGTATCATAATCAACGTCGACAGATAAACATCGAATAAGACAGTAGGAATAGTATTATCAACAGTTACAGAATTCGATATTTTCAAAATTGTTGCTAGATTTCTTTTAGACAACCAAAATATTGACAAAATAATGCAAAATTTTGTAAACTAATAAATTTTAAAAAATCATGATGTATCATGAAATATTGATATTTTTCAGTTATTTTAAGTAAATGAAATTATGACAAGATGTGAGTTAATAATTCGTACCTATCAGTAAATTCAAGTTTGTAATTATTATCGGTACATTTTTTAAGTTTTAATTAATCTTTTTACAAAAACTTAATTTGCGATTGTATTAAGAAAGCAATGAGCGTTTAAAAGAGAAAATATCAATTTTTGAAACGTTCTTCACGAGTAGCACAAAAATAAATAAATTAAATTAAACAAAGAAATGCAATTTTTAATTAATATGGAATTGTTAACGGAATTGGGTAATAATCATATAAAATTGGCAAAATAAAAAATTTAAAAAATAGCGTAAATTGCGTAAATAATGCTGTTATATTGCGTGTATGTTTTTTTTTTAAAAAAATATCTTTACAGTGAAGTTATTAAATTAATTCTAATCAATTAACAAACGCGAAAAAAAGTAATTAATAATTATAAAAAAAACATATATATAGCAGCGAAAAAGGTAATCAAAAAATGTGACTAAATGCTCTGTAAATAGGGCTGCCAACTTTTTACGCTATTTGTAAAAATGTAGCTACGTTTATGTTTCAATGTTAATATTTTTCATTCATTTAAACTTACTTTCTACACCAGTACACATAAATGATTTAAAAGTTCATATGCAACAAAACTGCGTTCCAGCTTTTACTTGGTGAGGCTTATAAAATATTGGCAAAATTACCAAAAACTCTGAAAGCTTTGATTTTTAAATGTATTGATATACTCTATAAAATATTTCGCACAAAGCGCTGTATTTTGCAGGTCTGTGGAAAAAATTTGGTTTATCTGAATATCTAAAATGGTAGCAACTACTTCTTTTTATAATGTATTGATAACTATATTAATTAATCAAAATATAATTTTTGATCATTAAGAAAGATCTTTATCTGTATAACTAGATATAGAAAATTATATATAAAAATAAATAGAAATGTATGTATAGCACAACCATTAATGAATAGCAAAATCTGATGATGTGTTGTCTATTAAAATACGCATTTTATATCAGTTGATAATATAATTAAATTCTATTCTAATCAACGTATAGCATATTTTTATTTTAACAAGATTACGTTTTTTTTTCCAAGTCCGTGTTTCTTTCTGCGTGGCTGCCAACTTTCTACGCTTTGTGGGAAGATATTTTCAAGTGGCAGCAAAGTTTATGATTTGATGTAAGATTGTTTGTTTAGTAAATTTGATTTAAAGTAATTTTCCTCCCACTAAGTGTGAATGATTCAAACTTTCATGTAAAAACCTACTTAGTTTTCTCGTGCTACTAACTACGAGCTAGTTCTAACTAGCTCGTAGTTAGTACTAGCTTTTAAAATGTTCGCAAAACTAACCAAAATTTTGAAAGCTTTAATTTTGGACTCCTAAATTTATTTAGCAAAAAGCGTAGTAGTTGGCTAACCTGCTTCTGGAATCGAAAGTATTAACATTTTGATTTAACCAATACGTTAACTTAAAATATCTAACTATTATTTAATTAATACATAGAATATTTATTTATTTTATTTATGTATTTAGAATGTAATTCAAGTTGAAGTTAGATACAGTTTTATTTCATCTCATCACAAAATCAAACTTAAAATAATTATGTCAATATTTAAAAAAAAATTTTTTTTTCTCTCTATATTAATGTAAATAATAATAATTTTCGAATCAATTATAATTTTCAAAATAAAAGTTTGAGTTGCGAGGTACTTGAGTTGCGAGTACCACTTTCAATACTAAGTAAAAAACAATATCATTTTTTTGTAATGATTTAGATAGTAACGTACTAAAGGCACAGTATACGACCCTTGTAAGCTAAATAACCAAAGTTATCATATATAAGTATGCAAATTAATTAAATCATTTTTATATAACTTCAATGAATACCACGAAAAGAACTCATCTTCGTAAGCAAATTAGCAGAGGCAAACATTTATCCTTTTTATAAATTATTTTTATCTTTTACACTAGTAATGTTGATATTTTGATTTAAAAAGATTTTTTCTACCATTTCCTTTTAAATACTAGATACTAAATACTAGAAATATTTAGAGCTTAACTGTGTTATTTTGGTTTATTTATAAAAAAATTAATTTTTTTAAAAAATATTTATTTATTTTAATCTTTTTGTTCTTATTTTGTATTTTCGTTTCCTTTTTTTTTTCTTCGACTGGGACTTCTTTTACCAATTATGAACAGCAATGGTTTCAATATCTTACTACAATTTTTTAATTCATTATCTTAGTTACTGGAAGTATTTAAGCTCTACTTCGCTATATTATAAAGTTTTTTTTTTCCGCCTTCCATTACTTTTTTTTTTCTTTTTTCCTTCTTTCTTTTAAATTCCGATCTTTTGTTTCGTTTCTTTTTTTTTTTTTTAACTTCGAACAATCAGTACATGTATCTCTAAATTTATTTCTTACATGCAAGTAATATAACTGCCAATTATATATTTTTAATTTAATATCTTCCAGTTTTAAAAATGTTTAAAGCTGCTAAAAATACACGTTTTTTTATTTTTATTTAATTTATTATTATTATTTTTTATTTTTAAGATTTAATATTATTCAGTTGTTTTTCTACTTAATATACCAGGCGTACATTAATAACAAAATTATTGTTTCTCTTTGAAGTTAATATGTAATATCAGTCAATATTAATACTGTATTAATACTCGTTGATATTATCTAGAATGTTACNGCTAAAAATACACGTTTTTTTATTTTTATTTAATTTATTATTATTATTTTTTATTTTTAAGATTTAATATTATTCAGTTGTTTTTCTACTTAATATACCAGGCGTACATTAATAACAAAATTATTGTTTCTGTTTGAAGTTAATATGTAATATCATATACATATGTAACATTCTAGATAATATCAACGAGTATTAATACAGTATTTAATTACAGATTATTAAATTAAATTTTAAAAATTGTCCAGCCATTTAAATTTAATTTGTTCAATGTTAAAAAATTATTATCAAATTTAAAAATTTTTCTAATGGTAGTCAAAAAAGTAATATAAAGAAGTGGTAAGTTTTTTTTGCCTATAAATTTTTCAACAATACTCCGCTTTGAAACAAACTAATGTAAAATTTAATGAAAATTTTGCGATGGTTAAAGAAATTATAAGGAAGGCCTTCAATAAAAAAAATAGAGCTTTTAGCGATCAAATTAATTCCAAATATTTCTTGTGTCGTTCAAAATCTTTAAAATAATTTTTTTTTTAATTTCCTTAATTTTTTATTTTTGGTCAATTTTTGAAAGTAAATTTTTGAATTTAAATAAGAATTCATTACACTTTTAAAAATTATTGAAAAAGCACATTTTAAAGATTTTTTTCGAAAAATTAGCGGCATATTAAATCAATATTGCCATGAAATAACAATTTAAATTTTAGGAAAGGAACACTAAAAGTACTGAAATTATATAAAATAATTTGTAATTTAAATATACTTGTTTGTAATTATAATTATTTTAAATATAAATAATTATAAATGTTATTTATAATCAATTATATTTAAAATAATCTTTATTTTTGCTAGTTAATGGAACATAATTTTTTTTAAATTTCTTCTTGTTTTTTAAATGAATGCAAAAAATTCAAAATGTGCTTTTTCAAAAATATATAAATTTCATTAAATTATAAAAACTATATGAATATATCTTATTTACACGTCTTTATCACAGAATAAATTAAATAATAATTTTTCTAATATTTAATCATCAATAAATAAATTTACTCACTTATATTAAAAGAACACCATCCTTTTTGATGATTTACAGAGAGAAACAATCAAATCGAATAACTGGACAGTCGAACAGCTCAGCCGAACGACAACAATTGACGAATGTCCAAAACTGGACACGTTATGTTCCTGTCAAACAACTCTAAATGAATGTAGGCGGAGAAGATATGATGCATCTTCTAACATCAGAGCGCCGATCATTCGAGAGTCATTAAACTTAAAATCAACTTTGAAAATTTGGCGCCGACACGCGAGAAACAAAACGCCAATAACGCACCACTGAATCTCTCTGCAACCCTAGAAGAAATCGCACTCACTGGCAAAAAAAGAAAAAATAACCTTAATCTTAGCGATAAATAAAAACGAACACAACTAGTCCTTTGTGCTCTAAGACTGAATAAAACTTTTCCAAGATTTCCACACAGGGGAGGTTCAAAGAGAAAAAAAATAAAAAAAACTCTGAAAGAAAAACTTATCTAAAAAAAACTGAAAGCGGAATTCGCGCAAAGTTCGGACACCAAAGCCGACACAACTGTCGCCGTAAGGGGTGGGATGTATCGCTAGTCCCGCCTTCTTGAGTGACGCTCACAGGCACCTCCGCCAACCGCATCGCGCCGGAAGCGCTATAACAAGACACTTAGTTCTTGACTACTATTGCCATCTAGCGGGTAAAGATGAAGATATTTTTCTAAATATTCATTCCTCAGATTTGACAAGAAATACGAACGGCGAAACACGAAATTAATTTGAATACTATTTCTTCGAATTAATTAATTTTTAGTATATTAATCAAGACTATCAAGTTTAAATCAAGGGAAATCAAAAAAAGTAAGTTGTTTGAAATGGCTAGTATTTTTATATTTGAAAATTCATAATATGGATGCTAAATTCGTTTTTTTAATTAATGTTTTTTTTCTTTTTTTAAATTAAACTATAGAATAAATTTATAATTTTCCTTCTCTGATTCGTGTGGTTTTATGAACTAACTTTTTATTTACAGACTTTTTAAAGTAGGTCCTTTATATTCATAAAAAAATTATGCAGAAATTTATTCTATATTTTAATCCAGTGGTGAGCGAATTTTGCTCCGCGGAACCCTAGGGTTCCACGGAAGAGTATGAAAGAGTTCTGTGAGTTAGCATTTTTTAAAACCAGTGATGAGTTTTGAAACCTCCAATTAAATTTTCATCCAACCTGTAATTCAATATTTATTTAATCTTTCATTTGCCCTTATGAAAATCTTTCAAGTAATATGCCAATGACATGGAAATGGCATTTTTTTTTAACGAAAATAGTTTTTAATAACAAAATATTGAATAAGTTATGAAAAGAATAAGCATTTCTAATAAATTGCATTATTATTTTCTTTAGTGCTTTTTAAATCAAAATCTTAATTTTTTTTTTATAAAGAAATATATTTCCTAGTAACTATTTTCAACGTTCATAGCAGTTCTTTAAAGTTTTCATCTTGAAGTAAATTATGATAAGGCTTATTTTATTTATTTTCAAATTATTTATTTTCATATTATTTATTTTCAAATTATTTATATACATCAAAAAGGAATTCAGAACTAAACTAGATACAGCACAAGAACTACAAATTTAACTTTTGGACATAAAACCTAATTTAAGATTATTAATGATAAAAAATCTCCATTCGTCCAATTAAATATTTTAAAAATAGTATTTGTTAGGTTATAACGTACACAAATTACTTTAATGAACTTAATTTATATAGTCGGGGTTCCACCAAAAAAAGTTGATTATTTAGAGCTCCATGGCCGAAAAAAAATTGGGAACCCCTGGTTTAATTTATAGTTCTATTATTCAATGTTAACATTTATAGTCACAAATTTATAATATTAGTGAATATAAATACTTTGTTTCTTAGAAATAAAAAATTTTTCTCGATATATTTTTGTCCATCTCCTGTATATCTATTGTTTGGTTCATGACGCTATTAGTGTGCCATAAAATATATATTTTGGAGACCTGGAAAAATTTCACTGTACTCAAAGTTGTCACATTGTATACCGCATTTTAAAATGTGGACTTTTTAGGACATTTCACATACTGCAAATAACTTTGCCATTTACCATGACTGGGCACCCTGGTAAGTTCAGAACAAAAAGTTACGAAAACACTTGTCTCTTAGCCGAGGAGACAATTATCTATAGTGTTTGGTTCTGGAGTTTACCGATGAGATAAAAGTTGTATTTTAAGACCTAAACTAGTCACCAAAACAATAGACTTAAAAAAAATTATTCTAATTTAAAGAGTAAGAGTTATTACTTTTATTTTTGAAATTTATAACTAAATTTGATGATTGTTGATCTATCTTAATGCAAGGATATTAATTGGGATGAATGCGTAGCAGATGAGTAAAATAGTAGTAGTAATAAGAATTACTGCTATTTTTAATATTAAAAGTAAAGACTGATGATGGTTAATATTTTTTACTATAAAATATTTTACACACTAAGAGCAAAGAATCACATGAATGTTTAGATTTGCTGTAATAGCAGGTTGGCTACAGTTTGGGTGAAAACAAAAATGTTGGATTCAAACTGTTTCTTTATAGAATTATTATTAGGCGAAATAATGATGATTTTGCTTATTTTATCTACCCCTACTTAATTTAAAATAAAAATGATTTCTTAAATAAAGTAGAGGTAAATATAATAAGCAAAAGCATTATTATTCCGCCTAATAATATTGAATCCTAGATTCTCATACCTGCCAACTTTCACTCTTTCCGAGAATGGATTTTCAGAGTGGTTGTAAAAACAATAAACGAAAAATAATCTGACTCAAAAATATATTTATAGTTTGATCCCGTTGAAATTCGCTTGCTCAAGGATAATTATGCTTATATATATTTATTGTAATTATTTATCTGTAGTGGTGGTCAAACTCATTTATAATTATTATTATAATTCAAAAAGTTAATTGGAATAACCTGAGTATTGCTACCACTTTAAATATGAAACTAAAATCTTCCAGAAAATCCGGAAGAGTTGGCAGGTAATTTATTTTTCTTTCTTTTTTATACCGAAACTCTAACCTTCCTGCTATTTCAGCAAATCTGAACATTCATATGATTCTTCGTTTTCAGCTTATAAAAATTTTACAGTAAAATATGTTATTTACCATCAGTCTTTACACTACATTTTAGAAATAGCAGTAATTCTTACTACTACAATTATTTTACTCATCTGCTTGGTACTCATCCTAATTAATATCTTTCCATTAAAAAAGTTTAACAATCATCAAATTTTGATATAAATTTTTTTAAATAAAGAAGTAATTCTCATTCTTTGAATTAAAATAATAAAAAAAATTTCTAAATTTAATATTTTGGTGACTAGATTGCGTCTTCGTAATTTTTTCTCTCCCTCATCTCTTGATTTCATCTGATTGAATCACTTTCGTCATTGCTTACTAAATTTCTGTTAAAATCCAGCTTGCACAAAGGGTTAGATTTTAACCTGATTGGTGCATAATGGTTAATATGTTCATTTTACACCAAGGGTTTCCGCGGTCTTTGAAATTTTTTGTAGTGGTAATAAAGTAATTTTAATGCTAGAAGATATTTATTAATTTACTATACCACTTCGTCGTTAAGTAGTTTAGAAGCTGGAATTTTCATGCATATATACTTTCTTTGGAAAAAAAATTTTGGTAGTCGTTATGCAGAAATTAAATTATTGACATTAGAATAGTTTTAGTTACCACTTTTAAAAATTTACAAGCCCCGCCAGAACCCTGTTACGTAGCTGCCAACTCTTCCGGTTTTCCCGGAAGACTTTGTGATATTTAAAGTGCTAGCGAAATTCATGTTATTTCCCTAAAATTTTTGAATTATAATAATAATTTTAAATCAGTTTGACCACCACTACATATAAATAATTACAACAAATATATAAAAGCATATTAGTCCTAACGATAGCGAATTTCAACCTGATCAAAGTATAAATTTATTTTTGAGGAGGACAGTTTTTCGGTAATTGTTTTACTACCACTTTGAAAATCCATCCTCGAAAAAAGTGAATGTTGGCAGGTATGCTGTTAGAGTGAGAAATTTTTTTCCCTCTCTTGGCTACCGTTTTAATGCTATTAAAACCTATACCCAACTATAAAAATTAGATCTTCAACTCAATATTGCATATTAGTGAGCATGGATTATCTTCAATTTTTAGATTACTGCTCATATCTAATTAACTTTTCTAGCACTTTATACGTTTTTAGCTATTCATTAGAAATTAAATAAGTGCTTTCAAAAAACACTATGTCATAAAAGTATATGACACTGAGTCACATGAAGCAGGAGGAGTAGTTCGAGAACTGAAGCAGTATAATTTTATGCAAGAGGTATTCCCCTATTTATGTTACCACTTTTTTATTTTTCTCCGCATTGTCATAACCCTGACTGTGGACCATTCTTGTGTGTTTATCTTAGATGTAAAAGATTAATTTCCCTCATGGCCATTAGACCAATACTCACGTACGCATCATGGGTGAAAGCCCTTATATAGCAAGACGGAAAAGAGAAAAACCTGGTACGTAAAACATTTCATTCCAGCATTTTTTCCGAAAAAAATGAAATATCTGTAACTATCAAGATTTCTTTTATAATTCTGGCATATATATAAAACTGCTTCTTTTCCAAGATAAAGTAGATATTGTTGAAAAATTTAAAAAAAGAATAAGTAAACTCCTCCCCAAAACTAGCTATAACTGAAATGGTTTTA